CTTGAATTGCACAGAGATTTTGAGAGAGTCAACAGCGGTAGATGTGGTAACACAAACAAGTGTGGATAATCGCTTTATTTTAGACGTTTCAGTGGGGCAAAAGCCTTTAGCAGCTGCAGCATCGGGGACTTTGAAACGTTCCTGAAGCAGAACAGGGACTGCCCTTTCATCAGGCACGCTGTGCGTCAGCCTTCCTACCGCGCGGCCGTCTGCGGCAACAGCGTCGTGGAGCCTGGCGAGCAGTGCGACTGCGGGGCACCGGAGGTGGGTGCCGCACTCCGGCGGAGGGTTGAACTTCCTTCTGGTCCTGAGAGCGGCTGTCAGCTGGAGGTGGTCTTAGGTGCTGTATAAAGCATTTCTGTGGTAACATGCAGAAGTGCAGCATTGCTGCTCTTCCCTCAGCTCCTCCGAGGCGTGCTGTTTGTTAGGAGGATGGGGCTCAGAGCAAGCAGTCATCCTGCAGATGGGGACATTTGCAGCAAATAATGATTTCTGGTGTGTTTGCAGGCCTGTGCATTAGACAAATGCTGTACTCCCCAGTGTAACTTCAAACCAGGAATGAAGTGCTCCTTGGGATTATGCTGTGAAAATTGCCAGGTAAGGTGTGTTCATAATTAGCAGAAGTTAAGCCATTTTAAAACGTTGGAGCAGTAGTAGTTTCTATAACAGCACTGTCAACCAGCTTTCTGGTTTTGCTCAGACGGGTATCTCCAAAGAAACTTAATGATATTTGTGCTGCATTTTGTCTCCTCTGGATTATGTTGTAAGGAATGTCAGGTAAGGCATGTTTTTATAATTATTGCAAGGTCATTCTTTATTTTTGGAGAAATAGTATGTTCCAGCGCTGAAGGATGGAGACAAACTTTCTGCTGTGCAGTCGGAGAGGTTCCCGGGGAAGGGCTTCCCAGCTCAGCTCCCTGAAACCCCCGGGAGGAATGTTACGGGGGGAAGACTGGGATTGTCACTCCAGTGTGAATGTGCTGACCTGCGTGCCAGGCGCCTCAGAGGTGGTCCCGAGGGACCGGGGGTGTGTCTCGGGACAGCATCGGGAGGGTCTGTGTGGGGCCTGAGAGGGGACCGCGCTGGTGGGTGTGTAAGGATGGAGAGAAGAGTCCTTTCTGCCTCCTCTGCCAGTTCAAGCCGAAAACCTCACAGTGCCGCCCCCCCGCCGACGCGCAGTGTGACCTGCCCGAGTTCTGCAACGGGTCCTCCGCGTCCTGCCCCCCCGACCTGTACGTACAGGACGGGCACGGCTGTGAGCACGGCACCGGCTACTGCTACAAGGGACGCTGCCAGTCTCCGGACCTGCAGTGCCAGGCACTCTATGGGAAAGGTAACAGGCTGCTCTGTCGTCACGAGTACTAAGGTCGAGCTCCAGGGCTGTTCTAGGGCAGAAGGCGGCATCCAAGCACGACGGATGCCCACCCTCTCTCTTGCATGAAATTGGGGAAGTTGGGGACCGCTGGGAGTATGCAGCATAAGGAAGAGCAGAGGAGACTGCAGGATGGATTTCCCGTGCTTGCGGAGAGGGGAAGGGAATGGGCCATCAGAAGAGGGTGACGGTTTCCATGGGAATTTCAGGCTGGCACAGCCAGTCATGCACACCTCACTGCCTCCTCAGAGAGCAGGACGAGCCAGAAACATACCCTGATGTTGTTGTGGAAGGTGTTTTGGACTGGTCAGGCCATTCCACTGTCTGTGAGATCTGTCCCACAACCCGAACAGAGGCGGCTAGCGATGGGACTGGAGCGGTAGCCAAGTATTCCTCTGTCAGAGGCCAGAACTGATAAGTGTTAGAGGCAACAGAGGTATCTTAGTCTGTATTACCCTCAGTGGTAATCAGTATTATTTCTAAACTTCCAGGTGCAAAAAATGCTCCTTTGGCCTGTTACGAAGAAGTCAACAGTCAGCAGGATAGGTTTGGACACTGTGGCAACCACCCAAAGGATGGCTATCAGCCCTGTTCCTGGCCGTAGGTTTCAAGGGAATGCAGAGTATTGAATTGGGAACATATACTTAATTTGTGCTTCCCTTTACTGTTGATGCAAAGTAATAATCTGAGAGAAGGTTGCCTTCGGTATGTTTTTCTTTTGCTGGGTGGAATTGACTTGCAGTATTCGCTCTAGGCATTCTTCAGAGAAACGGTGTTGTAGAGAAACTGGAGACTTTCGAAGGCAACTTCAGCACACACCTAATTGTGCGAGCGTTTAATGTTCTGATGGTTCATAGGACAGCTTCTCCCTTGGTATCAAGGGTTCAACTCTTCTGAAACTTCATGTGCTTGTGTTTTTATTTTGTCTAAATCCCCCTCCCTGAGTTGTGCACCTCAATGTCTCCAGCACTGTGATCAGTCAGGTGCTGTGTGTACTGTTCTAATTTATTGTGCTAATGAATTTTTTAGGAATCTGGGATGTGGAAAGTTAGTATGTACATACCCGAATCGTATTCCCTTCACAAAACTCAAGGGTGCCATAATTTATGCTCAAGTGCAAGAACATCTGTGCGTGTCTTTCGATTTTATGCGTGGACCCACAGCTCTAGATCCTCTCCTGGTCAAAGATGGAACAAAATGTGGTCCTGGAAAGGTAAGAAAATATTGCACAAGCATCCGGAAATGGTATATAATTATCATGACCATAACAGTTTTAGAAATAGTTGCTGTTTTGCAGTATGAGTTAAAGGTGCTCTGTACTTAGGTTTTTAGTAATTATTACCTGTGCTATTGACTTTTGGTGATTCTTTAGGGCTAGGAATCCTTTTTAGAGTTATGGCAAGCATGGTAAAGGGTGATGAAAAAGTGCCCAGCAGGATTTTTTTCCTTTTGGTCTTTCAGGTTTGTATGAATGGCACGTGCCACCCGCATTCAGTCCTGAAGTATGACTGCAACATGCAGAAAAAATGCCACGGGCATGGAGTAAGTAACAGCAATGCAGTTAAGTTAGTGTTATTGGTTTGACAAATGTTGCTAAAGCAGTTCTGGTAAAATGCCCACTGGGGCTTGTCTGTGAATTGCCTAGACCTGTGTTTTGGTCTAGCACTTTTTCTCTGAAATCATCACGCAGTAACAAGTTATTGTGGGAGAAATTAAGTGAGACTACCTAACTTAACTTTCTGTCCCAAGCGAAAAATAAGTGAGATAAAGGGGTTTGGAGTATTTGTTTGTCTAGATTAGCAGAAAACTGGAAAAGAGCCTCTAGAGGGGATTTAACTGCACATAATTGAAGTCGTGTTGGAAACGATCAGCATAGCTGTGCAAGGCGAGAGGCAGCATGGTGAACCGTGGAGTGGGAACACAGGGGAAGGCTGAGCAGGGGTCTCGCACAGCGGAGTTGAGGGGTGTTGGCAGGCTGGCTGTGACCGCAGCATGGGAGCAGGCTGTGCAGTGGTGTGCGGAGGAGAGCAGGGGCGGGTGGGAAAGCAGCAATCTGGGTGGAGATGGAGCGCTGTTCCTCAGTGGGGGTTTTTACAGGAATGCTTTCTGCCCGCCCTGTTCTTGGCAGGTGTGCAATAACAAGAACAACTGCCACTGTGATTCGGGCTGGAACCCCCCCAGGTGCAAGACTCAAGGATCTTCTGTAGGCGGCAGCATTGACAGCACGCTGGGCCCTGGTGAGTGCTGCAGCCGGGCTCTGGATGCCCCGTGGTTTTACCGGGTGCAATGGCAGGTCCCACGGCCCCACAAATGGCCTGGTCAGGCTCACAGCTGAGCAGACGGTCTGTGGCATTGCCCAGCTCTTACCCGGAGCTGTACGTTTGCTCCTCTCCCTAGATCATACCGCAAAAAGCTCTGCCCTGGCTGTGCTGAATAACTGGCTGCTGCTGAGCTTCGGCGTCGTCCTCGCCCTGGTCTGTGGCACCGTCATGATGACAAAGTGGAGCCGGCTGAAAAGATTCTGTGCAAGGAGGGGATTGCAAATGGATGGGTAAGTCGATATGAGTTACTTAATGCAAATCCCCCATTCTGGGTGTGGGAGATGGGCAGGGAGCATGATGGAATTACTGGAAAAGCTGGTGAGCGGGATTTACAGCCTGGGCAGAGCAGGGAAAGTGGCACTCGGGAAACGGTAACTGTTTGTTGGTCATAAAGGGAAGAAACTAGCAAACAGATGTCTAAAATATACAAATGTAGGAGAAGCAAAACTAAGGGTGGATTTCCTGGCACCAAGCACGCTGTCTGTGTGCAAGAGCTGGAGGAAATAGGTTTTCCATTTCCTAATTCCTGGGGAAAGCAAACCGTAAAAGGGGAAAAGCAGGACACGGGAGAAGCTGCAAGTCCCAGTGAAAACGGAGAGTGGCAGCTCACTCTGCCTGATGTGGAGGAGGAGCGCGGGTGGGAGACGGCGCTCGGGCGAGCGGGGAAGCAGGGCTGGGTCGGGACACAGGGGACATCAGGGCTGGCGGGGCCGGGGCTGAGGCGCCGCTCCGTGCCT